CACAGTCACATCAGTCTCTGTACAGAGGAGCTTACACTCTAATGTCCCCTCCCCCCCCACACAGTCACATCAGTCTCTGTACAGAGGAGCTTACACTCTAATGTCCCCTCCCCCACAGTCACACACTACGATTATACATATAGCTCTGACATATACCGCGGCGCTGTACAGACGATGTCTCACCTCTTCCTCTCGCCTCCACTCGCTCTCTCTCTGCTCCAGCTCGTCGCGAGCTTTGGTCCAATCAGCCGTCAGCTTGCGGAGATCCTCGCTCAGCGCCTGATTGGCCGAGTTGGCCTGGTCCAGTTGCTCTCTCAGCATGGCGTTGACCTGGGAGAGGCTGGAGCTCCTGTGTGGAGGAGAAGGAAAGTGGAAGACTGACAGGTAAGTCGTCTCTGGAAGGTCCCTCCCCCGTCCATGGCCACACAACCTCCAGAGCTCCGCCCACTGCTGTGACCGCGGATCCTCCCACTCCTACCTCTGCTGCTCCTCCTCCATGCGTATCAGTGCGTTCTCCAGCTCGTTGCTGGTCTCCTCCTCCTGCCGCAGCCGGGTGTCCGTCATCTCCAGGCGGCTCTGCACAGGAAACGCAGGCGGTCACTACGCAAACAATTACTGAATTGTGAGAGGGGCCTCGATCTGCTTCTCTCTCCAGAAGGAGGGCGCCATCTTTGTTCAGGCGTCACCCAGGGGCAGGGATGGCCAAACTCCGGCCCTCCAGCTGGGGTGGGACTACAAATCCCATGAGGCTTTGCAAGATTCTCACAGCCACAGACGTGACTCCCGGAGAGAGATGCATCATGGGATTTCCCCCACAGCTGGAGGGCCGGAGTTTGGCCACCCCTGACCCGGGGTCACCATCTACTTCCTGGACTGAGATGGCGGCTCAGAGATGACACGATCCCGGGGGCCTGTCCAGGTTTTGACTATGTTCACAAATGTCTGACACACATCAGTCCCTGCTACAGCCTCTCATCTTGTGACTGTATACAAAGTTACAGTGTGTAGTCTGAGTGATCACTGGGGGAGGGGAGACTGAGGAAATGCTTCCTCCTGCCTGCAGCAGTCTGATCACTGGGGGAGGGGAGACTGAGGAAATGCTTCCTCCTGCCTGCAGCAGACTGATGACATCATCTCAGCCTAGGCGAAGTCACTTATTCTTTGTATAATACGACTCACAGTGAGACGTTCATGCTCCAGCTCTGTCGATCTTTCCAGCAGCTCCTGCTCCACGTCCCCGCATCGCTTCTTGTACTGCAGGACCTGCGGAAACAAATGGGGGAGATCACCGCCCATTACATGCGGCAATTCCCCTCCTCCCACCTACGGCCAGCAGGGGGAGTATAGATCCCCCCCAAGTCATGGAGTCCCTACCATAGAGCAATGCTTCCAAACCAGCCCTCGGAAAGGTCAGGATAGCCCCCCTCCCAGAAAGGTTCAGGTGTCCCCCTCCCAG